CATCACATGATCTGTATTTGGACATGGCACTACGCGACGGAATGGTTGCTCTGTTTCTGGCGCTTGAGAGACAATGGATTAAACTAAACTTCGTGAGTGTAGCGCATGATTTCTGATGTTTTTTTACTATTTCTGAGATGCCTTTTGACAAACTAAATATGCCCAAAATGATGTGCTGGCATCACATGATCTGTATTTGGACATGGCACTATGCGACGGAATGGTTGCTCTGTTTCTGGCGCTTGAGAGACTATGGATCGAACTAAACTTCGTGAGTGTGGCGCATGATTTCTGATGTTTTTTTACTCTTTATAAGAAGCTTTTTGACCAATAAAAAATGCCCAAAATGTTGCGCTGGCATCACATGATCTGTATTTGGACATGGCACTATGCGACGGAATGGTTGCTCTGTTTCTGGCGCTTGAGAGACAATGGATCGAACTAAACTTCGTGAGGGAAGTGCATGACTTCTGATGTTTTTTTTACTCTTTCTGAGATACATTTGACAAATAAAAAATGTCCAAAATGATGCGCTGGCATCACATGATCTGTAATTTGGACATGGCACTATGCGACGGAATGGTTGCTCTGTTTCTGGCGCTTGAGAGACAATGGATCGAACTAAGCTTCGTGAGTGTAGCGCATGATTTCTGATGTTTTTTTTACTCTTTCTTAGATGCCTTTTGACAAAGTAAACATGCCCAAAATGATGTGCTGGCATCACATGATCTGTATTTGGACATGGCACTATGCGACGGAATGGTTGCTCTGTTTCTGGCGCTTGAGAGACAATGGATCGAACTAAACTTCGTGAGTGTAGTGCATGATTTCTGATGTTTTTTTTACTCTTTATAAGAAGCTTTTTGACCAATAAAAATGCCCAAAATGATGCGCTGGCATCACATGATCTGTATTTAGACATGGCACTATGCGACGGAATGGTTGCTCTGTTTCTGGCGCTTTAGAGAAAATGGATCAAACTATACTTCGTGAGTGCAGCGCATGATTTCTGATGTTTTTTACTCTTTCTGAGGAGCCTTTTGACAAATTAAAACTGCCCAAAATGATGCGCTGGCATCACATGATCTGTATTTTGACATGGCACTATGCGACGGAATGGTTGCTCTGTTTCTGGCGCTTGAGAGACAATGGATCAAACTAAAAATCGTTGGTGTAGCGCATGATTTTGGATGTTTTTTTACTCGTTCTGAGATGCCTTTTGACAAATTAAAACTGCCCAAAATGATGCGCTGGCATCGCATGATCTGTATTTTGACATGGCACTATGCGACGGAATGGTTGCTCTGTTTCAGGCGCTTGAGAGACAATAGATCAAACTAAAAATCGTTAGAGTAGCGCATGATTTCTGATGTTTTTTTTACTCTTTTTGAGATGCCTTACGACAAATTAAAACTGCCCAAAATGATGCGCTGGCATCGCATGATCTGTATTTTGACATGGCACTATGTGACGGAATGGTTGCTCTGTTTCTGGCGCTTGAGAGACAATGGATCAAACTAAAAATCGTTGGTGTAGCGCATGATTTCTGATGTTTTTTTACTCGTTCTGAGATGCCTTTTGACAAATTAAAACTGCCCAAAATGATGCGCTGGCATCACATGATCTGTATTTGGACATGGCACTACGCGACGGAATGGTTGCTCTGTTTCTGGCGCTTGAGAGAAAATGGATCAAACTAAACTTTGTTAGAGTAGCGCATGATTTCTGATGTTTTTTTACTCTTTCTGAGATGCCTTTTGACAAAGTAAACATGCCCAAAATGAAGCGCTGGCATCGCATGATCTGTATTTTGACATGGCACTATGCGACGGAATGGTTGCTCTGTTTCTGGAGCTTGAGAGACAATGGATCAAACTAAACTTTTAAGTGTAGCGCATGATTTCTGATGTTTTTTTACTCTTTCTGAGATGCCTTTTGACAAATTAAATATTCCCAAAATGATGCACTGGCATCGCATGATCTGTATTTTGACATGGCACTATCTGACGGAATGGTTGCTCTGTTTCTGGCGCTTAAGAGACAATGGATCAAACTAAAAATCGTTGGTGTAGCGCATGATTTCAGATTATTTTATTCTCTTTCTGAGATGCCTTTTAACACAATAAAACTGCTCAAAATGATGCGCTGGCATCACATGATCTGTATTTGGACATGGCACTTTTTGACGGAATATTTGCTCTTTTTCCGGTTCTTGAGAACTATGGATCAAACTTAACATCTTAAGTGTAGCGCATGATTTCAGATTATTTTATTCTCTTTCTGAGATGCCTTTTAACACAATTAAACTGCCCAAAATGATGCGCTGGCATCACATGATCTGTATTTTGACATGGCACTTTTTGACGGAATATTTGCTCTGTTTCCGGTTCTTGAGAACTATGGATCAAACTAAACTTTGGAAGTGTAGCGCATGATTTCAGATTATTTTATTCTCTTTCTGAGATGCCTTTTAACACAATAAAACCGCCCAAAATGATGCGCTGGCATCACATGATCTGTATTTTGACATGGCACTATGGGACGGAATGGTTGCTCTGTTTCTGGCGCTTGAGAGACATTGGATCAAACTAAAAATCGTTGGTGTAGCGCATGATTTCTGATGTTTTTTCCTTCTTTCTGAGATGCCTTTTGACAAATTAAAACTGCCCAAAATGATGCGCTGGCATCACATGATCTGTATTTTGACATGGCACTATGCGACGGAATGGTTGCTCTGTTTCTGGCGCTTGAGAGACAATGGATCAAACTAAAATCGTTAGTGTAGCGCATGATTTCTGATGTTTTTTTACTCTTTCTGAGATGCCTTTTAACAAATTAAAACTGCCCAAAATGATGCGCTGGCATCACGTGATCTGTATTTTGACATGGCACTATGCGGCACCAATTTTCAGATGGAGTGTGCTTGAGACAATACCCAGCATGCACTGCGTGGGCCTGCCACATTTGGTTGTTTAACAAAGGTGGCTGCCATGGAAAATAGTTTGTTATTTACAAAGGTTTTAAAATGATGAAAATTATTGTTTTATGTCAGTTTTCATGTAATGGTTACAAATGAAAAATGCTCCGTGGTCGACCGTAAAAGGTTTTAAAATGAGGAAGTCCATTGTTTCGTGTTAGATGTCATAAGTGCATGTAAAGGTCTGAAAAAATGATTGTGCATCACAAAGAAACGCTAGTTTTAAGAAATTAATCCAGACTAAAAACATTAAAGGACAGTCACAGGCTCCGCTCCATCACACCTCCACAAACTCCTGCAGTCCCTCCAGATGCCTTCGGTCAGGAAATAAACAGCGTCTGGTGGTTCCATCTCAGAGCAGCAGAACATCTCTCACCAGAACTTTCTCCTTCACAGTTCCTGGCTGGTGGAACTCTCTCTCACAACCTTTAAAAAGCAACTCGAGAGCACTTACTCTAACCAGTTACTTAACCAACTACTGGTAATAATAAAAAACCCTCTGAAGCACTGAATTTATTTTCTGCTTCAGCTCGATTGCAACAAAGTGCTGGAGTTTACTCCCGAACTGTAAGTCGCTTTGGGTAAACACCTCTGCTAAATATAGAAATATATTTATGATTGAAATCACGTTTAATCTCTTGATTTTGTAGCCCAGGATTACTCGGGAAATGGTTTGAGATTTTCATTGGGAAAACTTTGTCACTAGTCGCCAGTTACTCACCTTTTGGTTACTGATTTGCATATTCATGATGTGTATGCAAAGTTACCGTGTGACGCTCACGGGAGATGTGAGAGTGATTGATTGTGAGAGAGAGAGAGAGAGTGGAGAGGCAGAGACGGTGGATTCTCAGCTATTCCATTTCCACAGAAACAAGTAAATGAATAGTTGTGACCGTGTTCAGTGGTGACCCAGATGTGAACCTCACTGATTCCTTCATGTAATACACTTTTAAGTTTTATAAACAATTAAATTTTCAATGAAGTAACGTCATGTATTTCATGAGTAAAAATTTTCAATCTCTTTACAGCCAAAGACACTTCGATCTGTAATTCCTCGAGGCACATCAACACGTCCTAGTTGTTATCAGGGTCTGAGCTCAGCTACGTATGTGGCAAACCTCCTTCATGTATTGTCGTTACACATTCGTGTGTCGCTAGCTCCGTGTTTCCTCCGCTTGACTCTTGTGCGTTTGTTTCCGAAGATCACGAGAGAAGCCTGTGCTTTGTCAGAAATGTCCGGCCGTGACGTAACCGTTTGACTCGTGTGACTTCATCAATGTCGTGAATAAAACCCGCTTTTAAAATTCTTTTTTTTTTTTTTTTTTCTGTCTGTTCACAATTTTTCAAGCTGCAGGTATTGTTTACAGCAATAGATGGCTTGCATGCAAAAGTTCTACAGTGAATTAGATTTCGTGGTGGTTTTATGGCAGTTTGTTAGATAATCAAAAGTATGACCTGGGTCTGAAATGTGATTCTTCTAAGAATGTGATTGTTAAAACCCTGAATTCCTGTGGTTCTCACGCCGTGTGTTCTCTGTGTTTGTTCACAGCTGTAAAGCACCCCTCTACGATCTTGCTGCCCATGAAGATAAAGTGCTGTGTGCTGACTGGACAGAGAGTGGGGTATGATGATGAAGCATCTTTCTTCAATCATAGCCACTTGTAAATAGTTTTGTAATAGGTAGAATGGAAAGTCCAGCATGACCAGCTCAGGGCCTCCGGGGCTCACTGTTCGCAGAAGCAGAATAAACGTGGAGTCGCCGATTCTGTAGTGATGAGGGTTTCTTATTTCAGATCATATTTGTGACTCGCGTCTTGTTCACCCAAGAATCAACCCAAGTACTTTTTTTTTCTCAAAAGGCTGTAAACGAAAGATGCTTTCAAAATGTGTCAGTGGCTTATTTTTATCTTCATCACTGAACATAACGCAGAGAATGTACAAAAAAAAAATCAATATTTGACCAAGAGTTGAGACAACCACCTGTGATTCATTTCTCTCCGTAATGCTTTAAGATTTCCCCTAAGCTTTCCTGCGGCTCAGGTGGTCGAGCATTGTGTAACACGGCAAAGGTTGTGGGTTCAAATCCCAGGGAAAGCAAGAAATGTGAAAAATTGGTTTATTCTTTCACATGTAAGTTGCTTTGGATAAAAGCGTTTGCTGAATGTGTAGAGGTAAATGTAAACGTAGGAGGCGTTAGGCGCACGGCACTGTGATGTTCTACTTTTAGTATGTTTTAGGGATTATCTCCCAGAGACTTTTGTTCTCGTGTAGAGGTGATGATTGTGTAACTGGGACCCAGTATTTTTCCCAGGGGGGTGTCCGATTACCAGTTTTAGTCAGAGTTGTGCACTTTTATAGATGTTTGACAGTCTTTCTGTTTATCTTCTGCTCCCTTTAGTTGATTCTGAGTGGAGGAGCTGATAACAAACTCTACACGTACAGATACACCTCCTGCGCAGTTAAATAATTACCTTTAGTAAAATTTGTTTAGGAGATGTTTAGTGTGTAAGGCTGTCATGTATTTTCTCTTTTTAAACATTCATGGAAATTGTTCCACACAAGTCATTTTCTCTTTTGTTTTTGTAGTAAAGTTAATGGCACTAAACTTGTGTCGTTTTTTAGTAAATGAAACGGTAACCATACGCTCCGGAATAACTTGCGTGAAGAGTGGTGTGCAGATGAACTGTTCCTTTTTCAAACATTTCTACTGAACTATTGTACATCTGCATAACTCCACAACATCAACACAAGCCGCACTGCAGACTGTAGCGTGGTGATGTCACACCAGTCGTGTGTGTGTGTGCGCGTGTGTAAAAGCATCCCCTGTTCAGGTGAACTTTCCGGATGTTTTTGATTGTGATTTGTTTTTGACCTCTTTCAGGTTCACGGGGGTCTGCCGGTGCCTATCTCCAGTGCACATTGGGCGAGAGGCGGGGGTACACCCTGGACAGGTTGCCAGTCCATCGCAGGGCAATACACATTCACACCGAAGGGAATTTAGATTATTCCGTTGACCGCATGTTTTTTGGGATTGTGGGGGAAACCCAAGCAAGCACCGGGAGAACATGCAAACTCCTTACAGGAAGGTCACCGGCAAACCTTGAACCGACAACTTTCTAACTGTAGGCCACCCACCGTGCCGCCCCCCATTTGTGATGTTCTGAAATAGAATTACAATCGCTTGATACGCTTCAAAGACTTTTGTCGACAGTTATCTGACATTTATGCAAAGAGTTCAGTATTTGTTGGCTCTTAGAGTCTGTCAGAATGAGCGGGTTTTCTTTGTCCACAGCCTCTTGAGGATTGAACTCAAGTTCTCAATGAGGGTAAGATCTGTGGAGATCCGAAGCCACTTGGTTATCACTTCTGCTTTATGGCACAGCGCTCCATCGACATGCTTTGTTCTTCACCACACTGTGGTTGGATTGTTGGGAGGAGTAGCTGCTGGAGGGGCTTTGGTATCATTCTTTATTCACTGCAGCGTTTTGGGGCATAATTGTGAGTGAGCCACACCCTTGGATGAGAAGAAAACCCCACACATGAACAGTCTCCGGATGCTTTACATGATGCATGGCTGATGGTAGCGCTCACCTACAAGCTCCAAACAATCGGAAAGGGCTTCATCAGAGAACATGACTTTGCCTGTCCTCAACAGTTTGTGCGTCACATTTTAGCAGATCAATCTGTCCCTGAAGGTTATTTTGGAGAGAAGTGGCTTCACTGCTGGTCTTCTTGACACCATGCTGTGTTCCAAAGGTCTTAATCTCACTGTGCGTGCGATGCGCTCACACCTGCTGCTGCCATTCCTGAGCAAGCTCTGCGCTGGTGGCGCTCTGATCCTGCCGCGGAATCCTCTTTAGGAGATCTTTTTTTCCTTGATGATCTCATATATTGATTTAGATGCTGCAATACTCTTCCTGTGAAGCCATTTATATGCAACACAATGGTGGTTTCTTTGCAGGTCGCCATGGTTACCAATGGAAGAACAATGATTTCAAGCATCACCCTCCTTTTAACATTCGAACCCAAACTGCCGGGTACGGCGCAGGACCCATCCTTGCGATGGCAGCCTGTGAAAGGAACAGTGGCACGCTCCTTCCCTCCGTAGTGCTAGGGTCTTCTCCTTGGGCAAGAGAGATTAACCCTTAAGCCCCCCTTACGAGGGTTACACTAAATCTAGACTGCACTTACATCTGCATATTTTGGACACAACCACTACACCGCTTGTGAAGATCCAGAACAAACTGTTTTTTGATTCCCCATTGTAAGGGGCAACTTGTTAGCCGTGAGTTGCGACCCGTGTCGGCGGAGGAAGAGGTCCTGGTGTTTGAGGAAAATGGTTAGCTGCGGCTGCCACCTTTCCAACACGACACTTTGGCTCCTACTTCGTCTAGACGGGAGGTTGGAATGGCTCGATCCAATCAATCGGCTGGTCAAAGAAATGATCTTAAAACATCTATAAGACACTTTGGCTTAGAGTCAATCAAGTTATAAAAAGCAACCCGTTGCTTTTACTGGCTTGAGTATACCATCAGTATATCCTTGATGCATAATCTGCTGGAGTTCCGCGGCTCTGTGCATCCCTATTTTTTGGGCTCCAAGGTGGGTGAGGAGTACTGATGATGAACAAGAAAACTCAAAAATATGGCAAATAAACCAAACCACAAACGACATCGGACGGATTTAGAAACTGACAACCCAAATGGAAAAATTGACACAACGACGAAAAATGATGAGTGGCCAAAATTTATAATTATTGAATCAACTTCTGCTGACTATCAAATCACTAGGCTGTCTCCTTTTGCTATCCAGAAAGGTATTGCTGGTATAGCGGGTACAGTTAAAGAAGTGAAAAAACTGCGATCAGGTCAAATTCTTGTTGAATGTTATAAAAAAAGCCATTTCAGAGAACCTACTACAAACAAAAATGATAGCAACAGTTCCTGTGAAGACATCACCACACCCAACTCTCAATTATAGTAAAGGAGTGATCCGCACCAGAGAACTTGAAGATGTTGATGAAGAAGAAATTCAAGAAGAACTGAAGCCTCAAGGAGTTACTAACGTAAAGAGAATTATCATCAAAAGAGAAGGACGAACAATCAGAACAAGTACCTACATTATCACCTTCAACAAACCAACAATCCCTGAAAAACTTCTGATCGGATACTAAAGTGGACCTCTTTGTCCCAAATCCCCTTAGATGTTTTAATTGCCAGAAATATGGCCATGGTTCAAACAGTTGCAATAATAAACACATCTGTTGTAACTGTGGTGAAGAAAGACATGACAAGGAACCCTGTGAAAAAAACCATCCAAATGTTGTAATTGTTCAGGGGACCACTTAGCTGCATCAAAACAATGTCCAATGTGGATCCGGGAAAAAGAAATACAGAAGATTAGATGCACCAAGAAGATCAGTTACCCTGAAGCAAGGAAATTGGTTGCTCCTACCCCCTTCTTCAGTATAAACAAATCATTTGCTGATGCAGTAAGAAAAACTGTAAGATCCATTGACTGCCAGACAGACATCACTTGGATGCATAAAGACAAACCCCAAACTAATATTGCTCCTTCAAAAACAAAGACTTCAGGAACGCAGAGTGAAGTACTTACCAAGGATACACACCTGAACCAAAGTCCAGTTGAAAATGAAAAAGGAACAAAAAATAGCAAGAAACAAAGGGCTGCAAATCCCAAGGATGACCCTACAAAAATAAAAGAACCAAAAGATATAGAAATGAAAGAAAAAGAATGCCCTTGTCGAAGTCCATCCCCCCGAGGTAGAATGAAGACAAACGTCCCCATCCTTCCAAACTGGTGATGGAAAAACGGATTATTCAGTGGAACTGTCGTGGAGTTCGGGCTAATTATACAGAGCTACAACACTTAATTGCTGTCATCAACCCCATTGTTGTATGTCTTCAGGAGACACAACTGTCAAAAGACAACACTATTTCTTTCCAACATCTTAATATTTTGAACACCCTTGGTCCCAGTAACAAGCGTGCTTCTGGAGGAACATCCATTCTAATACGCAGTGATTTAATTCAGAGCAATATCAAACTCACTAGTAATCTACAAGTAACTGCAGTAAGATTGACACTCAGGAAAACCATCACAATTTGTACTCTCTACATCCCTCCAGATGCAAATATAAAACACACAGAGCTAAACCAGCTTATTACCCAACTTCCTCCCCCTTTCATTTTAATGGGAGATTTTAACAGTCATAACTATTTGTGGGGTAGCAACCAGTGCAACGCGAAAGGAAGGAAAATAGAAGATTTTATTGAGAATAACAATTTATGTCTTTTAAATGATGGTTCAAACGCTTATCTACACCCAGGACATGGAACCTACTCTGCAATCGATCTAACCATCTGTCAGCCCGAACTCCTTTTAGACTTATCCTGGAAAGTCCACCCTGATTTATGTGGAAGTGACCATATCCCATTAGTTATAACAATTAAAGGACAAGAAGAAGATTTTAAAGTGCAAAGGTGGCAAATTAAAAGAGCAAACTGGACTTATTTTAAAGCTCTATGTGATGAGAAACTCGCAGGTTTCCTTGAAGATGATCCAAATGCTATGGAAAACTTCACAAAAACCCTCATTTCTATAGCTGAGGAACCATCCCAAAAACGTCCTGGAAAAACTCCACTAAACGAACTCCATGGTTTAACGAAGATTGCAAGAAGGCTATTAAAAAGAGGAAAAAAGCTGAAAGATGTTTCTCTAATCATCCAACTACTGAAAATCTTATTAAACTCAAAAAGGAAAGGGCACAAGCAAGAAGAACAATAAATGAAAGTAAAAAAGAAAGCTGGAGAAGATTTGTTTCCAATTTGTCAACAAATACTTCACCAACTAAAGTGTGGAAGCTGATTCGGAAAATGAAAGGATAAAATACCAGTCCACAAATACAACACATTAAGCGAAAGGATGATATCTTGACATCAGCGCAAGAAATAGCAAACGAAATAGCAAAAACACTTGAAAACAATTCTTCAGTTGAAAATCGCAGTGCTGCGTTCAGAGCCCTCCACGATGGACATAAAGGAAAAATTAACTTTACCTCAAATAATGAAGAACCA